GACTGCTGCGATCGGTGATACGGCTGCGAAGTGCTGCGACGTTGATGACGGCTGCGACAATTTTGGTAAGTGTGTCCTGGTTTCTTACAGAAATGGCAGAACGGATACTTTGGTGGATATCGATGCTGTGTTCCTGGATTGGAGTAGAAACTTAAATGAACCCCCCTTTTCTGGTTGCGTTGTGACTGCAGGTCAAGATCTTGCTGCTCTGCTTGAAGATAAGAAGAGATTTCAGCTTCGGAGAGGTTGGGATTCATGCGCAGGAAGGCGCGCGCCTGTCGCCATTCGGGTCCAAGACCAGCCAGAAGGACAGTGAGATACATCTCACGAGGGAAGTATCCTCCGCTCTTTTCCAGTTGATCGCGTAGTGTACGGACTCGGTTAACGTAGTCCATGAGATTTTCGGTTGTCATCATCTGCACACTTGTCAGCTGCGAAAGGATTTTACTCACTGTTATCGTATCTTTTGCCATGTATACCCCTTGTAGATGGTTCCATGCAGTTTCGGTTGGTGTGAAACTTGAGTGAAATGATCGAACGCCGAGCTGCTCCTTCGGCGACAAGTTCCGTACAAGAACTGTATACGCCCCGAGAGAGGCGTGCAAGAAACTCTGCTGCTCCAGTTGTGTTCCCGTAACAGGATACGTAAATTCGCCGATGAAGAACGGCCAAAGCCGAGCGGACTGCGCCACAAGCTCAAACTCAAAGCTCCAGGAGTAAAAGTCAACTCCGTTAAAAGGTGCGGTTGTCTTGATCTGAGTATTGTTGAGTAGATTTGGAGGCTGAAACACAGTGCCTGGCTGTTGCTGTTGTTGCTGTTGCTGTGCTTGCTGTGGTTGCTGATAATGCTGTTGCTGTACTTGCTGTGGTTGCTGAGCAGGAGAACGACCGAAGATATAAAAAGGATGATGAAACTGCTGCGACTGCGGCTGCTGTACGAAAGGTGAGAAGGCAAACGAACCAGTATTTGGAGCTGTAGCTCCACGCATGTAACTTGAGCCGTCAAGGCTCATCCCACTGAACGCAGATGAAATCGATTGCGTTGAAACTGGTGGCTGTACTGACGCTTGCTGCTGTGCTGTTGTTTGTAATTGTTGCTGTTGTGTTGCAGGTGCAGTCGATGGAGCACCTGGAGTATTCACAGAAGGCGGATTTTGCATACCGATGTTAGCGTAGGCTGGTGGAAAGTGCCCACAGGCTGAGAGACCAGCGGCGGTAGTGGAGGCATGTGCTCCTGTAGTTCCGGTAACTGATCCGGCAGACGGTGCTGGTGATGAACCAGTCATAGTTGACAGTAGTCTTAATCCCAGATTGCTCTCATACCATGAAATAAAACGACAGGTGTTGTAGTAGACTAAGTATAAAACTATAAATGCGAACACTTGGTAAACCCTCAAGTGTTGGTCCAGGATCTTTGCTGGAATGGTAGACTAGTAAGACAGCGGAAGTCTTGTAAAATGTAAAAGTCAGGGTTGAATAACCTGAGTATGTGAACTTGTGAGTAATCACAGTTTGTCATACAGTTTATCACAAAGTTAATAATGAAAAGATCTAACAATGATTTATAGTACTACGAAAAGTACCTATTCGCTAATGTACCTTTTCGTCACTATCGCACTATGCGCCCCAGACGATATTGAAGAGGTGCGACTGTTCACGTGACCGAAACGACTGTCCTATGACGAGCGCTATTTGCTGACGTCATCCTACGGACTTATCTTCTACAGTATGATTCGACACTAACTACACTTAATCGACTTACAGAAATGCTAAGTGTCAATTATATCACAACATATACAAGTGCAAGTAGAAGCTAGGGTAGTTTTATGTAGTCATTCTTTTGAAGCATGTTTCGTGACAGTAAGGCCGCGGTCTGAAGTTTGGCCGAGTTGAAGTTTGGCCGACCGACTCGCCACGTCAGCGAAAGTTTGGCCAAAGTTTGAGGTTTAGGTTGGCAAAAGTTGTGGTAGGTGAACTTTGGCCAACCTTTCTGGGAAAAACTAGGCGACCAGGCAGCGACAGTTTGCGAACGGGACCCATTCGCGCCAAATCAAATCGTCTGGCGAGTCGCTGAATGGAATGCGAGAGAGCGCAGTTTTGGTCGTACATGACCGCGACAACTGACGGCCCGCTTGTTTTGGCTGAAGTTCCGTTGCCACCAAAAAAATTACGTTTCCTTGGATTGATTGTCGTCACGATTGACGACCATGTTCGGCAATCACTGCAAGAACCTCTTGTCGTGCACGGTCGCCGCCGTTGCTTGGGTTTCGTCGCACGTATTCTGGCCGGTAGGGGGTGGTTGGCCAAAGTTTGAAGCGCACGGCCGAACATTGCAATGTGCAATGCCGACGTGGCGAGTCGGTTGGCAAAACTTCAAAGTTCGGCAAAACTTCAGAATGCGATCTAACGATGTGCTTGTTGGTGTAGGCAGGTCGCCCCTCATCTGTTTCGGAGTCGGTGGCGTCTGTCCTACAGCGGGGACGGCATGAGCAGTCAACCCTTCATCTTGGAGGTTTTGGTTCACGGACTGTGCGACTCGGTGCGGGAAGCTAGTGCGACCATTTATGCTCCCCCAATGTGTCGGTGTGGGGGCTCGAAGACTAATATATCGACGGTGGACGATTGTCGATAGCCAGCCAACTGTCAGCTTTGGCGATCATGACATTTGTTTTGAATCCCGTCTGGATTCTTTGCGTGGAAATCGCACACCAAGACTTTCCCCACTAGCAGCCCGAGACACCGGAAACTGACCACCTTCGAGAAGGGCAGATCAGGACAAGTGATCCTTTCTGTCTGTGTTGCCTGGGCAGCGATCCCTGATTGGGAGACCCGGCCGGGCAGCCTATCTAGACGGGTGGTGGAAGAAGACATGAAAGAAAAACCAGGCTCTAGACAGTTCGACGAAGGGAGGGGTTGGTCTCTCATTTCGTACAAGAGCCAGTCAGCCGTACCCGCCAATTGCATGAGTTCCTCAATGACTCGTCAATGTTCTGGAGTACACGTGGCGCTGGAGTGGAATTCATCGGGAAATGATCAGAAAGGATCCTCGCTTCGCCAGGGGTGTGAGCAAAAAAGGTCCGTCAAACCCCGAACCTGTAATACAGTAATAATGCCTTTTAGTGCTTGCATTAAGAGTTTCTCAGCATAAGGGCATCAATAAAACCCATGGTGCAGAAAAATATAACCCACTCAGGATGGCATCAATCCTAAACTCGAGGTCCTTTTGCGATTTTAGTGTTGATTCCACCCCGAGTCGCATGCAAGGGCCCTATGGGTTTTAGTTTTATTAGTGCCCTAAAACACTGTTCTTTTAAATGTCCCACGTCACAAGGCTACGTTATGACGCGCACCCACAAACCTGCCCTGTGTTGCGATCATATAATATGTACGTGTTGTAAGATGAATGCTATGTAGCACAGGCTCGGAAACAAGGTCTTGCGGAAGAAAGCTGCCGGACCTTTTTTGCTTATGCCTCTGGTGGAGCGAGGACCCATATTGCTCATTTCCCCCTTCCTTCAGCCTCTCTGAGGGAAAGAACCGTCACCAGAAGCCACCCGCTTGTTGCTCCAAGTTCCCCTCCCTCCCCTCCCCTCCCTAACCTCATTGAACCGAGCCTACTGAATTCCATACCATACCCCAAGAGATGCGGTCGGGCCGCCTCCATACACCTCTGTACTCTTCCGAACCAAAACGGTCGGCCTCGATTTTTCTCCATGCGAGAGCCCGAGGTTCTCGGTTTTCCGAACCAAAGGCCGAAACAGAAGCACCTTCCTTCCGTCCATGCTTTCCCCTCCTCCGCACCTTGCCGCACCTCCCTCTCCGACCTTTTTGCATCTGGCCGCCGGCTCGGACGAGTTCGAAAATCCAGGTAACGCAGGCAGGCACGCAGGCAGGCAGCCAGGCAGACCCATCAACGCCGATGCGCTGAATTTGCGAAAGATGGCAGGGCAGGCAGGCAGGAGCAAAGGTGCGGTGGACTCTCCAGTCGAATCAGGTGCGGATTTTGGAGAGAATCGCGCGCTTTGACAAACACCAAAAATAGTTTTAAACGGTCGTTCCTATTTTCCCGCGATGTATGACATGCCCTAGTTATCCAAAACGGTCGACCTCCTCTACTGTTCCCGTTTTCGTGTTGGGTTCAGATGCCACTACGTTTTTAAGGGGCAACTGGTTTGGGTCCAAACCTTTTGTCCTGTTAGGGTCCAATAAGGATAATAGGACAAACAATGACGGCACATTAAGGGCTGCGGCATTCGAAAAGGGCACGCGCAATTATTCTGAGCACAATGTCCAGATTTCGACAAAATAGCAGGTGAGGTTTTTCGCGGACTCGGATTCCGATAGGGAATTTTTCCAATAAACAGGGTTTGAACCCGGATTCTGACGGGTGAATTTTGGCAGAACTGGCTGTGAAACCAGGAGCTGACTGGTAATTTTTACAGAACAGAGCACTGAACACGGATTCTGACGGGTAGCTTTGGAAAGATACCCGGATCTGACGGGTGCCTCAAAAACCACGCTTAAGCCCCGACACTTGCAAGAGTCAGATGACTCCAACACGTGCGTTCACGCCAGGTGCAGGGGACAGGCGGGCACGGGCAGATTTTTGTCGCGACTCATTAAATGCACGTTGCCGCAACAATTGAATTGGGATCCGGGAAATGTTTTCACTGCGACCCAAAAAAATATAGAGGTTGACCATTTTGGGTAACGGGGACATGCCATACATCGCGGGAAAAAAGGGTCGACCGTTTTGAGCCATTCTTGATTCTCGTCGAGGAGCGCGATCTCCTCCGGATTTTGGGAAAGATTCAAGAGCTGCAGCGATGTTGGTTCGGCTGCACGCCACCCCACACCACCACAGCACCTTCCATTCACCCACCCGCCGTCCTTCGACATGCCTCACTCGCTGTCGGTGTGACATCACCCAGCGTGAACTCCCTCAGACTCGTCGCACTGGTGGAGGTTCTCTCAACTCGGCATGACGCTGGTTGACAATGGCTTTCTACTTTGCACGGGAATAGGAAATCCGCTAACTTCTAGTCTATCCCTGCATCACAAAATTCCCAGCTCGTACTGTCGTAGATCGTGTCGAGACGTCTCACGGACTCAATGGAATTCCTATCTTTCGAACTAACACCTCCTCCGCATCCCACTCATAGGCAGTAGAATTCTACCAGCTCCAGCTTCATAGCGCCTTCGCACCAGCTCTCCCTACCATACACTATCGCGCCGGTTCATAGCACTATCACAGCACCCTTGCGGCGACGACGCGGAGTCGCCTTTTCTACTTATACTGCCGTTCATAGTCCTGGCTTGACGGTAGCAGTTTTCTCCCGTTCTAGCTTTTCATGGATGGCCTCACCGCGCGCCCTGTCAGCTGTCTAGACCCCACGATCATAGGAACTGATAGTAGCAGCAGCAAGGCAGCAGTTGGCGTCGTCATGCTGCCGGCAGCGCGATGCGGGCAGCAGAGCGGCGCCGGGTGCATCAACCCCGACGCCATCCTCAACCTGCCGCCTCCGCCGCCGCCGTTCTCGCTTTACTCCCACCCCACTTTAGCCGAACAGGAAAGTCAGCAGCAGCCGACACGGCAGCAGCAGCAGCAGCCATATCAGGAGGTCAAGGTCGACATTAAGAACGTAGTACAGGCGACGGCTGTTGGGGACGGACAGGCGCAGGTTGCCGGGCCATCGTGGCAGCAGCAGCAGCAGCAGCACCCGGCACCGATGGGTGGTCCGATGGGTCCGATGGGTGCGACCCATCTCGATGCCGCGTCGTTCTCCCAGCCCCATCATCATCATCAGCAGCAGCAGCAGCAGCAGCAGCTCAGCACTGCTGGCAGCTGTCGCGGCAGCACAGTGCACGACCCGGCCGGTTCGCACGGCCCGTCCCGGCTCCGAGTGAACCATCATGCCTTCGAGGCATCATCGCACGCACAACTCTCGCAACACGCACCACCGCCACCGACCGTCGCGACGACGCAGCAGCCGCCCCTGGCAGGAGTGGTAGTGGCCGCCGCGCAGCCGCCGTCGCACGCGCTAGTACCACCGCCAGCGGCGCACTCGCAGATAGCAGGTGTAGTACCGGCGGTTGCGGCGAGAGTGGCGGTGGGAGCGGCGGCGGAGGAGCAGGTGGCGCTGATGTCAAGGCTGCGGCACGAGCTGGGCCTCGCCGATGATCAGGTCGGCGTCGCCCGCCATCCCGGCGGCATCGGCGCGCAGCAGGAAATATGGACTCCGAGCCGGATTGATTCGTCCGCCTTGGTTAGTCACAACCCGGCGGGGGACGGTCCTTCTGCCGCGCCGCAGCAGCAGCTTGCTCCACAGCCGCAGCCGCCGTCGCCGCGGGTTGCGGTGCAGGCACAGCAGCAACGTCAACAACTTTTTGAACGCCATCGGCATCACCCTGCCAACGGGCCGTCACAGGTGCTCGAGCTGCAGCAGCAGCCCCAGCAACAGATGCAGGCGCAGTGGCAGCATCAGCGGCCGGCATCCATGCCGCCCGTCAGCCATGGCGTGCCCCAACCGCAGAGTCAGGAGCAGTTCACGACGCAGCGGCCATCACAGCACGTGCAGCATAAGCCTCAGTATCAAAAACAGAACTATCATCAGCAACAAGGACAGTTCGCGCAGCAGCCGCAACCGCAGCAGCCGCAGCAACAGCAGCAGCCGCAGCAACCGCAGCAGCCACAGCAACCGCAGCAGCCACAGCAACGGCGGGCGCAAGAGGGGATTCCGTGTGTGAAGGCAGAGCAGTTCCAGAATCAGCACTTGTACTCGCCGCCACCATATCACCGGCAGCACCAGCAGCAGCAGCAGCAGCAGCAGCAGCAGCAGCAGCACCAGCAGCAGCAGCAGCACCAGCAGCAGCAGCAGCAGCAGCAGCAGCAGCAGCAGCAGCAGCAGCACCAGCAGCAGCAGCAGCACCAGCAGCAGCAGCAGCAGCAGCAGCAGCAGCAGCAGCAGCAGCACCAGCAGCAGCAGCAGCACCAGCAGCAGCAGCAGCAGCAGCAGCAGCAGCAGCAGCAGCAGCAGCAGCAGCACCAGCAGCAGCAGCAGCACCAGCAGCAGCAGCAGCACCAGCAGCAGCAGCAGCAGCAGCAGCAGCAGCACCAGCAGCAGCAGCAGCAGCAGCAGCAGCAGCAGCAGCAGACGGAGGTGTACCGTCATCATCATGATCAAACAGGCATCGGCGCCGCGCCGTCCGCTGCATCCTCTCCGCCGCCCATGCCGCCACCGTCGGGAATCGACCTCATTCTGCACGGCGGGTGTCCGCCCAGCACCACCCATGCGCCTCCTGATGCGGCGGCGGCGGCGGCGGCCCCTGCAGTCACTCCCCGGCAGCAGCAGCAGCAGTACTACTGCGAGTCCTTCCCGGTGCATCCGCATCCCACGGGGCTTTCCGTGACGCGCGAGGGAGAAAACGGGGTTGGCGCGGGTGGCGGTGGCTGTGGGGAAAGCAGCATGCGGGCGCAGTACTTTGATTCAGGCCACAGCGGAGCTCAGCAAACGCAACAGCTGCAGCTGCAACCGCAGCCGCAATATTTCCAACAGCACCAACAGCAGGAGCAGCCGCAGCAACAGCAACCGCATCACCACCACCAACAACAACACCAGCAGCAGCAGCATCAACAGCAACAGCAACCGCATCACCACCAACAACAACAACACCAGCAGCAGCAGCAGCAGCAGCAGCAGCAGCATCAACAGCAACAGCAACAGCAGCAGCAGCAACAGCAGCAGCAGTACCAGTACTACGTGGAGCAAGCACCACCTGCAACTATAGCAGCACCGCCGCTACCATGCAACAACCATCAAGGCTTCACAGAGACTCACCCTCCCGATCAATTCAACTTCTCAGAGACACACCAACCAGCGGTGAACTTCTTACCTATCACGGCCCCTCCAAACGCGCAGGCCACCTCTTATCTCCACCAGACGACCACTCCGTTCCCCCCTGCAGCACTCCAGTTCCAGCCTGACACGGCATTGTTCCACCCCGCAGAAGCAGACTCCCATCCCAGTCCTTGCAATTCTCAGCCGCAAGGAACCGTTTGTGCGCAGATGTCCCCTCCCCCAAGCGCCTCTTTCCCCGCGCACTCTCACGCTGACTCCTACCACCAGGACCGCACGCTCTTCACCCCGCATGACCCCCCTGTACAGCCCGCCTCCACACTACCTCCCCTGGCTTCGCCCACTCCACCTGTGGCGCAAGCGCCACCCCAAGGACCACCGCTGCAAGCACCAGCACTGCAAGCGCCAGCACGCCAGGCAGCAACGTACCGGGGGGTGCGGCAGCGCAAGTGGGGCAAGTGGGTGTCGGAGATCCGAGAGCCGCGCAAGCGCACGCGTATCTGGCTGGGGTCCTTCGACTCCCCTGAGGACGCCGCCCGTGCGTATGACGTAGCTGCACGCATGCTGCGTGGCCGCAAGGCGCAGCTCAACTTCCCCGGGGACTACCCCCCGCCTGGGAGTGCGCTCACGGAGGCAGAGGGGGAGAGGGGGGAGAGTAACGGGGGGACAGGAACAGCGGCAGGAGTGAGCGGGGTGAGGGTGCATCTCCCGGCGTCTGCGGCAGAGGCGCTGCTGCGCGCGTCGAAAGAGGCGGTGGTAGCGCTGGGACTGGCACCAGATGAAGTGGTGGGGCCGGGCACACTGCTGCCCTGGGGGGGGCACGGGCCCTGTGTGGGGCGGTTGGGGGGAGTAGGAGGAGTGGGGGAAGTGGGAGGCTTGGGAGGTGTGGGGAGAAGGATGAGTGGTGAAAGGCCTTCTGTGGGAGATGAATGTGTGGTGGACGGGGTGGGGGGGGGTGGGGGGAATCTGGGAGGGGGTGAGGAGGTACGAGTGGGCGTGAAGAGGAGGAGGCATGAGCGGGACGCAAAAGCGGAAACAGAGTGGTGCTCAGGCCAGGCCCCAGGTGTTTCCTCTGGTTCCACCCTGCTGACTCCGCTCCTTCCCACGAACCCTGGTGCGCTGCCAGCACTCTCCTCGCCACCACATTCCTCCCCACTCCCTAGCACCGCTGCGCCGCCGTCCCCCTCTCTCCCCCACTCGTGCTCCATGCCCAATTTGGAGTCTCCATCGCACAGTGGCGCGGAGTAGGCACCCAATTGTACAGCGAGCACATGGAGTGGAGTGGCAGTGGCACACATACTGATGGCATGACTGATGTGCCGCACAGGGAACTGTGCTGGCTCTGGGTGCACCTAACACTAATAGGGAGATGCTGTAGGTGTCCTTATTTATGGAAATTTGATTCTATGCCTAGTACAAATTGGTAATAGTGTATATCCATTCTTGTCGTCGAAGCTGTGCATGTGTTAGAAACGTGCAGCTTTCTTTTATACGGTCGTCTTGTAAGCAAGACATTACGGACGCACATGTGCAGTGAAGGGTCAGGTGGACGGTATTTCCGACACATGGCCCTTGCCCTGGCTTTCCAGCTGCTGCGTGCGATCAAACCACATTCCAGTCACAGATCAGCGAGTAATTCAGCAATACGTAGAGCAGTGGCAGATCAGCGGTAAATCAGCAGTAGATCGGTACACCCTTGGTCACCGGTCATGGCTGCCGTGGGGTTATCGCTGGTGTGCAATCAGTGCGGCACGCAGCTAGCCAGCGCGGACGAGGCTCAGCTGCACGCCGAGGTCACAGGCCACACGGACTTCGCCGAATCCACCGAGCCCGTGCGTGCTGCTCGCCCTACTGGCTCTTCCCTGCTCGCTGTTCCCGCCACGTGACCCCGACGCTGGCCGGATTTTTTAAATTCAGAGTCGCACGCAGCCTTGACTGCTCGCGCGTAGACATCTGTGCCGTTTTCCACCGAACAGATTCGTCCTAGCCCGGAGTTCGTCTCCTCCGAACTCGATGCGATCACTTCGATCCCTCCCTAAAACTATCCCCCTCCTCGCGTGAACCGCCCTTGGCTTGACTCCTCCCTCGCTGTATCCCCTCCTCGTTTTGATCCTCCTCTCGACTCGTTCCGTTCTCGCTTTTCTCATTCGTCAACGTGCGTCGCGCTCTCCCCTCCGCCAGGTGCTTCGCCTGGTGTGCGACGACTGCAGCAAGCCATGCCGCTCAGCCACGGTACGCCCTCCTTCCGTCTCGCCCCTTCCGTCTCGACGCGTCCTCTCCGCTGCTCCTCTCGCACGCTTACACTTCCGGCTCTCGCCGCTTCCCTCCTCCACGCGCCCCTCCCTTACGCTCTACTTCTTGTACTGCTCGTCTCCCCCCCGGCGACTGGCGGCAGGAGCGCGACCTGCACACGAAGCGGACGGGTCACACGGCGTTCTCCGACGAGACGGCTGCAGCGGCCAAGCCGCTCAACCTCGCTGCTGCTTCAGGTGCTGCTACTCTCTCTTCCCCCAATCACTTTCCCATCCGCCGCTCGTCTACTCGGTTCAAGCCCCGGCGTGACTTCAGTTCTCTGCTCGCGCTGCTCTCACGTGTCCCTCCACCAACCTTTCCTGTTTCACGCCCCTCTCTCTCCCTGTCTGCTACCCTGTCTGCTACCCTGTCTGCTACCCTGTCTGCTACCCTGTCTGCTACCCTGTCTGCTACCCTGTCTGCTACCCTGTCTGCTACCCTGTCTGCTACCCTGTCTGCTACCCTGTCTGCTGCCCTGCCTGCTACCCTGTCTGCTACCCTGTCTGCTACCCTGTCTGCTACCCTGTCTGCTACCCTGTCTGCTACCCTGTCTGCTACCCTGTCTGCTACCCTGTCTGCTACCCTGTCTGCTACCCTGTCTGCTACCCTGTCTGCTACCCTGTCTGCTACCCTGTCTGCTACCCTGTCTGCTACCCTGTCTGCTACCCTGTCTGCTACCCTGTCTGCTACCCTGTCTGCTACCCTGTCTGCTACCCTGTCTGCTACCCTGTCTGCTACCCTGTCTGCTCCTGTCTGCTCCCTGTCTGCTACCCTGTCTGCTACCCTGTCTGCTACCCTGTCTGCTACCCTGTCTGCTACCCTGTCTGCTACCCTGTCTGCTACCCTGTCTGCTACCCTGTCTGCTACCCTGTCTGCTACCCTGTCTGCTACCCTGTCTGCTACCCTGTCTGCTACCCTGTCTGCTACCCTGTCTGCTGCCCTGTCTGCTGCCCTGTCTGCTACCCTGTCTGCTACCCTGTCTGCTACCCTGTCTGCTACCCTGTCTGCTGCCCTGTCTGCTACCCTGTCTGCTACCCTGTCTGCTACCCTGTCTGCTACCCTGTCTGCTACCCTGTCTGCTACCCTGTCTGCTACCCTGTCTGCTACCCTGTCTGCTACCCTGTCTGCTACCCTGTCTGCTACCCTGTCTGCTACCCTGTCTGCTACCCTGTCTGCTACCCTGTCTGCTGCCCTGTCTGCTGCCCTGTCTGCTACCCTGTCTGCTACCCTGTCTGCTACCCTGTCTGCTACCCTGTCTGCTGCCCTGTCTGCTACCCTGTCTGCTACCCTGTCTGCTACCCTGTCTGCTACCCTGTCTGCTACCCTGTCTGCTACCCTGTCTGCTACCCTGTCTGCTACCCTGTCTGCTACCCTGTCTGCTACCCTGTCTGCTACCCTGTCTGCTACCCTGTCTGCTACCCTGTCTGCTACCCTGTCTGCTACCCTGTCTGCTACCCTGTCTGCTACCCTGTCTGCTGCCATGTCTGCATGCGTGTGTGTCCGTGCGGCGTGGCGGAGCAAGCAGGGTCAGCAACAGGGGGTGGCGAGGAGGGGGGAGCGAAGGCAGTGGGGAGTGGGGAAGGGGGTGCGGGGGAGGGGGAGGAGATGGTGGCGCCGTGGGTGAATCCGGACCTGCTGGCGGACCTAGAGGCCATGGGGTTCTCGCACAACAGATGCGTGCGCGCCCTGCACTCGTCAGGTGAGCCATGCACTCGTCAGGTGAGCCATGCACTCGTCAGGTGAGCCCTGCACTCGTCAGGTGAGCCCTGCACTCGTCATGTGACTCAAGGGAAGGGCCTCGCGCACTCGTGCTACAGCACTTACTCGATACCCACTCACCTAAGCCAGTCATCGCATGCCTTGTCAGCGCAGCACCATGTATGACAGCATGCCAAACGTGATGCGTGCATGTGGGTGTGGACATATGGGCGTGCTGTGAATGGTGCAGGCGGCGAGTCCATCGAGAGTGCAGTGGCGTGGATAGCGGATCATGAGAACGACCCAGACATCGACACACTCCCACTTGTCAGTGCCGCCTTGCCTTGCCAGCATCCACTCTCCCTGCAGTGCTCGCACTCCATGCATTATGCTCCTCCTCCTCCATAAGCATCCTCAGAGATTGTATCCGTCTCTGCTCGAGCATCGCTTGTGCCTGCTACTGCTCCTGCTGCTCCTGCTCCTGCTGCTGCTGCTGCTGCTGCTGCTGCTGCTGCTGCTGCTGCTGCTGCTGCTGCTGCTGCTGCTGCTGCTGCTGCTGCTGCTGCTGCTGCTGCTGCTGCTGCTGCTGCTGCTGCTGCGCTGTCGCCGTTCCACACATTCTCGTGCTGCACTGACAGCCTGCTAACGTGCCACAAGAATGCGTCCCCTCCCCTTCAAGCAATACAACTTGCGTGAAATTGTTCCCCTTCTCTCGCCTGTCCCAAATGTTTCGTCACGCGTGTGCAGGTGCCAGCAGCAGAGAGCAAGCCAAAGAAGCACCTGACACCAGAGGAGGCAAAGCGACTGGCAGACGAGCTCAGGTGAGCGAGAGGCGGGCTTATGTGGGATGGGTGGAAGATAGGCGAGGTCAGGTGGAGTGGGGTTAGGTGACTGACAGGCTAGAGGCCTGTGCTCACCTGGGGTAGTGAGGATGCTACTGTGAATGGCCATTACCAGTGGTGCGAACCCTGCTGAACGACTCTCTGCATGGGTTCGCATGGGGCATGGCCGCATGGGGCTGCACTGAATATCAAACCTGACGTTGTGTGTGCAGGGAGAAAGCAAGGAGGAAGCGCGAAGAGGAGGAGAAGCAGCGGGAGAAGGAGCGGGAGAGGGTGCGTTTTTCTTTCATTCTGTGCCGGGCCTGCAAGCTCCTCCTGCTTCTTCTTATTGCCATGCTGTTCCTTTCTAGTTGCCATGCACTGCGCTGCACACTTGCACGATTGGTTGGCTTCCACTAGCCTCATTGCATGTGAAGTGTCCTAGAATTCCCTAGATTATGGTGGGGCATGTGCTGACCGGGTGCTTGCATGGTGAGTGTTGCAGGAGCGGATTCGAGCAGGCAAGGAGTTGCTGATCGCCAAGCAGAAGGAGGAAGAGGAAGAGCGCAAGAGGTGGGTTCTCTCCTCCGCTCCACCGTCCGCTTGCTGCCTGCCCTGCTCTGTATCTGGTGCACCGTGTTGTTGTGTGTTGTTGACAGGCCATGCTGCTACCAAGGTAACAAGCCTCGCCTTGTACATGCCTCTGTGGTGTGCGATCGACAGGCCATGCCAATACATGCTGCATATCATGAGTCGTATGTGTAATCGACGTGCCTTCTGTGGCCGGGTGGTTGCGAGAGGCTATACGGTGGATTGTGCCCTGTCTGCTTGGTGGGTGCATGCAGGCGCATTGAGTTCCGGAGGCGGGAGAAGGAGGAAGAGCAGCGAGCGAGGGAGAGGATCCGACAACGACTGGAAGAGGACAGGGTAGGCATGGTTGCTTGCTTGCATGTGGGGCATGCCGCATGCGCGCGTGCCAGCCTCTACTCTCACATTCACCCTGGAATGTGCCAACTTTCTCTGCGCCCCCTCACGCACCAGCAGCACACCCAAAATCTCGCATTTCTTGTGCTCCCCACCCCTTGCGTGCAGCAAGAGCGGCGCAGGCGACTGGGGTTGCCGCCAGAGGAGCCCAAGCCCCCGGCCGCCGCCGCTGCTGCTGCTGCTGGCGCCAGCGCTGAGGGGAGTGCGACAAAAGGAGCAGCAGAGCAGGAAAAGGTGGGCGGGTGGGGGGTCGGGGAGGGGTGGGGGGTGCTGTTGAGGGGGGTGGGGGTGACAGTGAGCTCCCTACCAGTGCTGGATCTGATCTGAGGACTCGAGCTGTGTGGGTGGTTGCCATTAACGGCTGGACGGGAAGGCAGGCACGTGCATCAGATGCGCTCCATAGGGTCAGTGAGCCTCAACTTCCATCTCTCGTGTCTTGCAGCCACGCCCACCTGACCTCTCCCCCTTCCTCCGCCAACCCCACGCAGTTGCATCTGCCAGTGAGGCCAGCGTCCTTGGTCGAGAAGCTGAGGGGCGCTCTTCGCACGCTCAAGCAGGCACACAAGGTGGGTGGGTGGGTGGGTGGGTGCATCACCCCTGTGCAGGGCGGCAGGCGGAGAAGCTAGAGTACCAGGCGTGTGGGTTGGTTCTGTTGGGTCCTTACCTGCTGAAGCCTTGACTGGCTGTGTGCTTGTGCATGCCAACACGTCCGCACACACACGTGCCATGCATTTGGGTTTCTTGTCTGAGGCATAGAGCAAGCATGCAGGGATGTGCCGGATGTCGTTCTGGAGATGCCAGGGTTTCCGAGTGAAATCATCAAATGGAATGGAGCATCTGTGCGTGGCAGGAGCAAGATGCGCAGGTGAAGGTGGCGTATGAGACGATGCTCAAGTACATCAGCAACATCGCACAGCGCCCCGGCGAGGACAAGTTCCGCCGCATCCGCCTCGCCAACGCCGCCTTCCAGGTGGGCGCCGCTGCCCACTCGCTCATTCCTGCGTGCCTGCGCTGGGGACGGAAACACCAGATTGGCAACCCCGTTGCGTTATTGTTTGTTGCTGAAATGTTCTGTGTTTAACAGCGCAATGTGTCCCCCCTCCCTATTCCACTGCCCCCCCCGAGCCCCCCTCTTCCTATCCGTCCCTCTCACTGTGCCCCGTCTTCCGGCACTGAGCACCACCTCCCCCCCGCCTATGTTTCTTTTCGTCCATGCTGCACCAGGAGCGCGTTGCTGTGTTCCCAGAGGCCATTGACTTCCTGCTACTCTGCGGCTTTGAGAAGGACGCACAGGGGGAGCACCTAGTGATGTCTGCGGAGAAAGCAGCTCCGGAAGTGCTCAATGCAGCAGGGGCAGAGCTGCACTCAGCCATCAATAATCCCTTCTTTGGCGTGCTCTAGATGTCAAACATATGTGTGTATGTTTAGTAGACTACATAGGGTCATGGCATAGAGAGTACAACCCACTAGCTATATACCCCTGTGTACTCCCATTCTACTCAACAATCCAAACTCTGAGATGGTATCATGAGTAGGTCAGGTCCCCCCGCCCACCCGCGCTTCCGCCTTAGCGCCTAGCCGCCCGTGGCCCCGTTGCCCCGCCACCTAGCGCCTAGCCGCCCTGCTCATCCCGCGGCCCCGTCACCTAGCCCCTAGCCGCCCATAGCCCTGTTGCCCCGTCACCTAGCGCCTAGCCGCCACGCTGGCCCTGCGGCCCCGTCACCTCGCGCTTAGCCGCCCATGGCCTCGTCGCCCTGTCACCTAGCGCCTCGCCGCCCCGTCGCCTAGCCGCCTCGTCGCCTAGCCGCCCCGCGGCCCCGTCGCCCAGCCACCCTGCGGCCTCGTCGCCCCGCTGCTCCGCGGCCCTGTCGCCCAGCCGCCCCGTGGCCCCGTCGCCCAGCTGCTCAGTGCCCCCCACCCCCTCCTCTCCCCCCCCCCCCCCCCCCCCCGCCCCCCCTTCCCCCCCCCCACTCCGCCGTGTTTCCCGGTCCCCGCTTGCTACACCGGCCCTCTCCACTGTCCTGCACCGCGCCCCACGGTGCTGCACCGCTCAGCACCGCACAGCACCGCGCCCCATCTCACTGCACTGCACTGCACCACGCCCCACCGCACTGCACTGCTCTGCACCTCGTGGCACTGCACTGCACGGCGCCCCACTGCACTGCACCACTCTGTTCCGCTCGGCGCTGCACTACACCGCATTCCATCGCACTTCACCGTACCTCACTGTCCCCACTGCTCCTCGTCGCTCCGTCCCGCCCTTCACCGCCTGTTCGCTGCTGCAGCGGCCTTGATGACGGACTCGGCGCTGCGCTTTGACGCGGAGGGTCAGCCGGTTGAGTTCGACGCATGGCTGGTCGACCTCTGCCATCATCTTAGTGGTCAGCGGCAGGACGGCCACTCCCTGGCCGTCCACATTGACGGTACGCTCCCCTGCCCTGACCCCCCCACTGCTCTCCCCGCTGACCCCACGTCTGCTGACCGTGAGTCCGCCGCCGCTGCTGCCCTTGCCCGTGCTGTTTGGCTGTCGCGTGACGCTGTCGCTCAGCTCGTGATTAGCCATGCCCTCCCCTTGCCTGAGCGCCCCCGCTTTAAGTCGGTCAGGACTGCGCAGGAGTTCCTAGAGGCTGTTGTCGAGCGTTATTCCACCCCGTCCTCTACCTCTGCCGGCTGCTTGATCCTTCCCATGCTCTTCCCTGATCTCGCGTCTTTCTCCAGTGTCGCTGACCTGGCCACGCACCTGCGCACGCTCGACGCGAGCTGGCGCACAGCCTACACTGAGGCCCAACTTCGTGTGTTCCAGCCCCCTATCTGCTCTACCCTTTACCTGCTTGCCACCCGCCTCCCTGACCGCCTTCCCACTGCCCGCGACCACTTTCTGAGTTTGCACCCCGCTGACCTCACCCTCCCTGACTTTGTGGACACCTTGTTTGCCATAGAGACCCGTCAGCGCTCTATCGCCCAGTCTAGCGGTACTGCGCCAGTCCCTATCTTTCAGAGTTGTGCTCCTGCTCAGTGCACTTACCCTGACGGTTCTGCGGTTGTAGCTGAGACAGCCCCTGCTGCTTAGACCGCTGCCGCGGTGGCCGCAGCGCGGTCCCGTTATGGTAAGGCCCGCCGGCCCAAGGCTGGGCGCGGCGGTGGTAGTGGAGGAGGGGGTGGAGGTGGTTCATCCGCTGGCGGTAGTATCGACGAGGGGGCTAGGGCTGGTGTCTCGGAGCAGCAGCCCCAGCGGGAGCAGCAGCAGGAGCTTGACCAGCAGCAGGAGCAGCAGCCGCAGTAGCAGCAGCAGTCGTAGCGGAGGGTCGGCCGCCTCCCACCTGGGTGGCCTGGCGCCGGTGGTGGTGGTGGTCGCGGTGGTCGTGCGCGTAGCTCGTCGTCGGGTGGTGGTGCGAGTGACGGGCGCTGTCAGTACCAGCTCCAGACCGGTCCTCGCTGCGGCCTCGTGTGTTGTAAAATCGATCATACCCCCACTCGCTGTTTCAGTCGCCTGGACGACGTGTTTCGTCTCCGCTTCGGCCCCGCACCGGACCTCCCCGACTGGCAAAGTCTGCTCCGCCGTGGTGAGGATCTTTGATATGGACATGGATGAGATTAGCTCTGCATTGTATGTGTTGTATCTTGATGACTCTAGTCTGAATGGTTCCTCTTACCCCGTATTGCCTAGTGTAGGTGTGCCCAGTGTGCCTAGTTTAGGCTCCCCTGCTGCGTCAGACATATGACCCTTTGTTTTGTTTAGCCTTGGCTCCACCCTAGCTCCTCCGCCCCCAGCCGCCACTGCCGCACTCTCCTTCACTCTCGACTCTGGCGCGTCTCGGTGTTTCTTTCGGAACCACACTATGCTTACGCTGCTTGCCGTCCCTGCCGCAGTTGCCCTTGCAGACCCTTTCTCAGGTCCGGTAGTCACCCGTAGTTCCACCACCCTCCCCTGTCCGGCAGTTCCTTCGGGCTCTCTTACAGGCCTGCAGATCCCTTCGTTCTCTCGGAATCTAATTGGTGTCGGCTGTCTTCAGGACCTCGGCGTCACCTCTACGTTCCTTAGTCATGAGAGGTACGCTGTCTGTACCGAGGCTACCACTAGTGCCCCCCTCACCACGTTCCCCCGGGACCCGGTGTCTGGCCTGTTCACGCTGGACACCGCGTCCCCCCCGTCTGGGACGCCCCCCCAAGTGGCAGCGTCTACCCAGATTGCTGTGGCTTGCTCGTGTCGATCGCCTACTTTCCCGTCGTTTCTGTGGCACCACCGCCTAGGTCACCCTGACCTCACACGTCTCCGTCACATGTTTTAGCACGGTCTTGTCTTAGGTCTCCCTGTGTCGTTCCGTGCGCTCCCCTCCTCGGCAGCACCTCCGTGCACCCCCTGTGTCGAGGGCCGGCTCCGCCATGCCCCTCACTCCTCCTCGTTCCCCCCCACCACCGCACCGTTACAGACCCTGCACATGGACGTCTGGGGCTCCGCCCCAGTCCATGGGCCACGTCGTGAGCGTTACTTCCTAGGGCTTGTCGATGACTACACTCGCTACACCACCGTGTTTCCCCTGGAGCGGAAGGCCGACGTGCCCGACGCTCTTATCTCGTGGCTTGTCTCTGCGCGTGTGCACCGAGCTCTGCCTGTGTTGCGTCTGCACTCCGACCGTGGTGGCGAGTTTGCCTCTGGCTGCCTTGGTCGCTTCTGTCGTGCGAAGGGCATCACCCAGACGTACACTCTGCCAAAATCCCCGTAGCAGAATGGGGTTGCTGAGTGACGCATCAGTTTGGTCATAGAGGTGGCTCATGCCTCCATGATCCATGCCGGTGCACCCCATTTTCTGTGGCCTTTCGCTGTTCACTACGCCGCCCAACAGCTTAACCTGTGGCCGCACCCTCAGCAGCCGAAGGTTTTGCCAACCCTTCTTTGGACCGGGTCTCCTGGTGACGCATCTGCGTTCCACGTCTGAGGCTGCCTTGCTCACGTTTGTGCCTCTAGCATGGACAAGCTCACTACCCGCACCGTCCCCTGTGTCTTCCTAGGTTTCCCCCTCGACTCGTCTGACTCACACTTCTACCACCCGCCATCTTACCGTTTCTTTCACTCCCGCGACGCCACCTTTGACGAGTCCGTCTCTTTCTACCACCGCTTTCCCCACCGTGGTCCCCCGGTCACTCCCCCCTAGTTCCTGGTCCCCCCCCTCCCAAGTCGCCCCTCCTCCTCCCCCTCCCTGCTCTGCCCCGTCTGGTGTGTCTCACATCACCCCCCTCCCGTCGGTTGTCCCTGCCGAGGAGTCTGCTGACTTCCGCGGCTCGGAGGAGTCCCTTCCACCGCCTGTCCCCACCATGGTCTCTCCTCCCCTGTCCCCGACGTTACCGTCGCAGCCGCAGCCGCCTCCGCAGCTGCCGTCGCCGCTGCAGCCGCAGCCGCCGTCGTCACCGCCGATGGAGTTTGTGCCTTCTAGGGGTGCTGGGGAGCGTGCCTGAGCGGGTCCTGGAGCAGGTTCCCGTTCTGGGGGTGCTGGCGTGGGGCTTCTCGGAGGGAGCCATGGTGCTGCTGGAGGTTCTGTTGTTGGCGTCGCGCAGCAGCAGCCGCAGTCGCCACCGGTTTCCGCTCTTCGCCTCCTCGGCCTTCCTTCCCCTGACCGCTCGCCGATGCCTCCTCGGTCGCCACCGCCTCCTACTCTGCCACTCTACGGCCCTGTGTTTCCTGTAGCGCACTCTTCTCCGGCTCATTTCCCTCCTCGTTCTCCTCTTGTGTCTCCTCCCCTCTCTCCTGACCCGACTCCTCCGTTTCACGTCTGGGCTCGTTGTCCGTCTCGTGCTCGGCCTACCTCTCCTGTTCCACGTTCTCACCCTATGTTGCTTCGCTCCCACACGTCTCGTGCTCCTCTCCCGTCGTCGCTCGCTATGGCCCCGCCTCCGTTCTCTGACTTCCTCCTTGCCGTGCGTCCCCTTGTTTCTCGTGTCCTTGCCTTTCTTGTTACCGACCCGTCCGTCGGCTCTTGTTGCTACTGTCACTGACTTTGTCGTTACCCGCCGCCTTGACTACGCCACCACTCTGGTCTCTGACCCTGCCTGCCCTCCGTCCGTTGGGGGTGTGGCTGCCCTTGGCTGTGACGTCCTAGAGGACAAACAGTACAAGCTTGATTTCCTATCAAAGGCCGCTCCCCATCTCTGTTTCATGCTGCTAGTCCCTGAGGGTGACCCAGACGCCTTTGACATCCCAACCCCTCGCACCTACGCTGAGGCCACCTTGGGACCCTAGGCCTTTCAGTGGATAGCTGCCATGGAGCAGGAGATAGCATCTTGGAGATCCATCGGTACCTTCGTCGAGGCAGTTCCCCCACATGGGGTGAACGTAGTCGATGGCCGATGGCTCTTCAAGGTGAAGCGCCCTCCAGGAGAGCCGCATGTCTTCAAGGCGCGCTACGTTGCTCGTGGCTTCAGTCAGCGTGAGGGGGTTGACTTTTTTCAGTCCTTCGCCCCGACCTCGAAAATGACTACTCTTCGGGCACTGCTACACGTAGCAGCACAGCGTGCCTACGAGCTCCACACCCTTGACTTCTCCACAGCTTTCCTCCAGGGCAGTCTACACGAACAGGTCTACTTGCGCAGCCCCCAGGGCTTCTCCTGCACCTGTCCGCCTGGTACCGAGTGGCTCCTCCGGCGCCCCGTCTACGGCCTGCGCTAGGCGCCCCATGAGTGGCACGATACGCTGCGTGCTACACTTGCTGACCCGCCGTTCTTCTCGCCGTCTGCAGACCCCTTGCTCTTCGTCCGTTCCGACCAGACTCCGTTCTACATCCTTGTTTACGTAGACGATCTAGACTTTGCTACTGCAGACAGAGACGCGCTGGCCTCCGTGAAGGCCGAGCTGCTGAGGAGACACATCTGCACTGACCTAGGAGAGTTGCGCCACTACCTTGGCTTGCAGATCTCCAGGGACAGAGCACCGCGCACCATCAATTTCACGCATTCACACTTGGTGCACTACGTCTTTCAGATGTTCGTCCTTCAGTTCTCTTCCGCACAGCCCACCCCTCTGCCAGTAGACCACAGAGTGTCTGCACCAAGCCTGGAGGAGGCTGTAGAGCCTAGTGGTCCTTACGCAGAGCTGGCGGGTTGCCTTATGTACCTGATGACTTGCACTCGTCCAGATCTCGCATACCCTCTCAGCATCCTCGCCCGCTTTGTGGCCTCCGGCAGACACCGACCACAGCACTGGTCTGCAGCTAAGAGGGTTATGCGTTATCTAGCAAGTACATCGGGCATGAGGCTAGTGCTAGGAGGACGCAGACCAGTGCTCCTTACCGGGCACAAAGACGCTTCTTGGGCAGACGACGCCGAGAGTCTCAGGTCCTCCCAGGGCTACAGTTTTAGCCTTGGTGCAGGTGCTGACTCGTGGAGGTCCACCCGCTCGTCGTCTGTTGCCCAGTCTAGCTGTGAGGCTGAGATCTACGCAGGTGCCATGGCGGCACAGGAGCTCCGTTGGCTGACTTTCTTTCTCACACACTTGGGCGAGCGGCCTAGCTCTGCCGCGGTCGTGTACGCTGACAACAGGGTCATGATCCTCCTGTGTCAGGAGCCCAGACTCGAGGGCAGAGCAAAGCACATCCGCTGCGGTACTTCCTCCTGCGCGAGCTACAACAGCGCTGCCAGGCCCGCGTAGTAGACTTGGCCTCCGGTGCTAACACAGCTGATATCTTTATGAAGGCGCTTGCGCTTAAAGATCATGAGCGACAGTGCGTACAGTTTGGTCTCGTTCATGTAGCTCCTCATTTGCTAGGACCTTGATTGTGTATAACTCATTATGTATTATCCTTACTGGCCTTGTGGCTTTCTCCTAGTGGCTGGACTAGTAGTGCCGCCCTGGTCTTGTTCTTGCCTTTTTTGTACTCTTTTGACTGGTCTTTAAACCCCTGCCTCTGAAGTTGGACTAGTAGTGCCGCACTGAGCTGCTTGTCTGTCACTAAGCTCTGCCCCTATCTAGTCTAGGGGGTGTGTCGAACATATGTGTGTATGTTTAGTAGACTACATAGGGTCATGCCATAGAAAGTACAATCCACTAGCTGTATACTCCCATTCTACTCAACAATCCTAACTCTGAGACTAGAGTCTAACCCCTCCAGTGCTACGGCATACATGCCCGGTCGCTGCAAGCCCATCAGCCTGTGTGGGTTGCTGACATTGACAATGCTGCTGACTGGTCATGGTTACGAGTCTGATTAGAGGCTGTATGTTGAATTCTGCGTCAATCCACCATCACTTCTGTAGAATGTATTTTTGTTCAGCGAGGATCAGAAGAGTTTGAGAAAATGCCCGAGAAAGGTGTGTGAGACCATGTGATGATTAAGAAAAGGTACTCTGATACTGCGAATTCACTCACCATGGCTTAATGCATGATGTGAATTTCTGCGGGTGGCATTGATGCATGTTCGATCAATGCGTTATTTTTAACTGTAATGTAATGCATGTTGCGGCAGTATGTGGTGTACCGGTGGTCGTGTTCTGTCAGGGATCATCAGTCACGCCTTGTGCGAGTTTGAGGCGAAGAATTGGCGGCAAAATGTTTTGAAATTCCCAGGCAGGGACCGAAACCGCTGCTCTCCGAGAAACCTCCAGCTCCATTGGCCGCTTTCGCTTTGGCTGACTGCCCGCGACCCGTGACCTTTCATGCCAGAAGTGGAGGGAAGCTGCCAGCAGGGCATCCTTCCATGGCACAATGCCATGGTATGGTGGTGGACTTCCCTCCCTCATGTCATGGCTGCCCGACTGCAGTGCAGTCGAGCGCAAATGGTCAGAGCCTAAGAAGGAAAAGCTTTGTGGCGCCAAGCGGAGCACATCTGAGCCATCCGAACCGCTGCTTGAGTCGTATCTCACCCGCCAAGCCCAACCAACCCACCCAGGATGGGTGCATAGCAATCGGGCACATGGCCCTCCCTCCACCCCCCACATCCCATGTGGCACATGCGCGCACAGCAACCTCGAGGAATGGGATGGGGTGCATCGGTGCTAGTGAGTTCAGCATTCACTGGCTCATAGAGTAAATTGTGGGATCTTCAGGACTCTTCTCCTAAGCTGCCAGTGAGGGATGCTAGTGAGGGAATTGCCTACGCCGTGAAGCTTTCTGGGGGGCAAATCCCTCGGCTTGTCAATTCGAGTACGATTAGTTTTCTATATGGAATAGGGGATCTCGTATTGGCCGCTAGCCGTCGTGTTCAACCGCTGTATGCCTCCCAACGGCACAACCGCGCGAATAAGAAGTGCTCGTCGAGGCTCTCGCTTGAGAGCGTGCACTTGTTTCGAAGAGCGCGCGAGTGACGGCGACGCGACGCCATGAATCAGTATCACATCTACGACCAGATCGGCAAGGGCCGCCACTCGGTAAGCTCGCCTCACCTCCACCTCGTAAGCCCCCTCACCACCACCTCGCCGTACCGTCTCCGCAGCCCTCTCCGACCCGTGCAGGCCGCATCGCTCGGCGATCATCCGTAGCTTTCTGGGTGATTCAGCTTCGGCGGTCACAGTGGAACAATCGAGTATGCTTGGTGCTAGAAATCCCGTTTTCGTTTCGTTCCACGCCGTGTTAGCGCGGCTGTCGTACGTGCGTGCTTGCATCGGTCGAACTACGTTACAAGCGTCGTCTAGTGGAGATCAGAGAGGGTTCAGGTTCACTGGGAACTACGCGATGGTCGCCATTGCGGTCGCATCTCGGGCGCGAGACCATGGGTGCGTCGCGCGTGAATCAGCATGGCCCCGTCGGCCTCCGCAGCTCGCACGTGTTACTCGCGAGTGCACTTGGCGGGGAAGTGCGGACGGCAGCTAGGCTGGGAGTAACTGTCTTTCTCTCTGTGTGTGTACGTGTGGGTGTGGGTGTGGGTGTGGGTGTGGGTGTGGGTGTGGGTGTGGGTGTGGGCGTGTGTGTGGGCGTGTGTGTGTATGGGAGTGCGTGCACAGGTGGTGTACAAGGGTCGCAAGAAGAAGACGGTGCAGTATTTCGCCATCAAGAGCATCGAGAAGTGCGAGAAGCCCAGAGTCCTTCAAGAGGTACGCGCCCTGCCGCCCTGCCGCCCTGCCGCACTGCCGCCCTCCGTTCCCTTCCACGCTCTCTCGTCCTCTCGTGCCGCTCCCATACCCCGATCCACCCTTCGCTGTGTACTACTTTCCCATCTCAATTCCCTGCGTCACGCACTCTTGTGCTTTCCCTGCCATCTTGGCCGCTCTCATGCTGCTTCACTGAATGCGGCCGTATGCCCAATGATGCATGCTGCATGCTGAATCCCGAATCCCGAATCCCGAATGGGCGAATGCCTGAATGCTGCGCGTGCCCGTCGTGGTGTGCGCGCGTGCAGGTGCGCACGTTCCACACGCTCAACCACGACAACGTCCTCAAGTTCCACGCCTGGTCAGTGTCCGCGCTAACCCCCATCCGCCGCGCACGCGCGCACCTCTGCCCTCACGCCCCTCCGCCCCCCTGCTCGCGACTGCCCCTCACAGCCTGCTTCCCCTTCTCTCATCGTCGCTCCGTCACTCTGTGTTGGAATGCTCTCACCTGGCCTTGCTGTGCCTGCCTAGCCACTCAGTTCGCCTTTCCCTGCGGCGTCGTGTGTGTGTGCTGGTGGGGAAGAGGGGGGGGATCCGTACATCTGCGGGGGATATGTGTGTTTGTGGTTGGGTGGGTATGCGTACCGGGGGAATGCGTGTGTGTGTGTCCCTGTGGCGGCAGGTACGAGACAGCCAACCATCTGTGGCTCATTCTGGAATACTGCGTGGGCGGCGACCTTCTCGCCTTGCTAAGACAGGCAAGCCCTTCCTTCCCCTCGCCATTCTCTCCCCCTCCTCACTCTGTCCATTCCCACCACCCTTACTTCAGCTTCCTTCTGTTGCCTTTCGTAGGCTTCCCCACGTCTTTCGCACAACCGACACCAACGGCGCCCGGCTCTCCAACTCGCAAGTAGACCAACGCATCCTTCTCTCCCTCCTCTCTGTCCCTCCCCTTTCTCCTTGCCTCCCTTCTCCCCCGCCTCCACTCGCCGTCCGCCGTGTTGGGCGGCAGGACTCGAAGCTACCCGAGGAGTCCATCCATGACTTCGCCCGTGACTGCGCCCAGGCCCTGCAGTGAGCTCCTCCCCTTTGCCTGCCCTGCACCGCACTCCCTTGCACCCCACACCTCTGCACCCCGCACCCCTCCACGGGCTAGCAGCGCGTGACTCGCGCTATTGGCAATGAGATTAGCGCCCTCACGCACCCTTGCATGGCACGTCCTCTTGTTCGTCAGCGCCTGCATGCCGCCCTGCAGTACCCATGCCCATCCTGCCAGCCCTCCGTGCCATGCAAGAGCGCCAATGACCTGAGTGCTACTCGTGCCTGACTGTGTATGACGGTGTCTGACTCTCTCTGACTGCATGTGAGTGTGTGTTACTTGTATCTCCCTCGGGTGCGTGTGTGTTGCCGTGCCAGATTCCTGCACTCCAACAGCATCATCTATGCGGACTTCAAGCCCTCCAACGTGCTCCTTGACGAGAACGGCCGCCCCAAGGTACTGTGCTGCGCGCACCCTGCATGCGCTGTCACCTTGCCGTGCTACTCCTTCAACGGCTGCCCTCACCTGCACCTGTCCTTGAATCCTCCCCCGCCCCCCGTTCTCATCCCCTTCTCCCGCTCGCTTCCGCCTTCCCTCCTTGCCTCTGTATGTGTTCCCCCCACTGTGGTTCGCAGCTGTGTGACTTTGGACTTGCTCGTCGCCTCACGGACATAGCCAAGGGCTCGCAGGCCCTGGTGAGCCACCGCTGCCCTGCTGCACCGCACACACACATCCCTCTGCTCTCTTCACCTCATGTTTCCACTCTTGCTTCATACCCCGTTGCCTCCCACTCTATCTTCCTATCTTGCTGCTGTTCCCCCCCCCCCCGGTTCCTCCTCACCCCCTTCCCCTTCCCGTCTCCCATTTCCCCCCTTCCCCCCCCCCCCAGCCGCCAGTGCCCAAGCGCGGCACGCCGTGCTACATGGCGCCGGAGCTGCTGCAGGAGGGCGGGGTGCTGTCGTTCGCGTCGGACCTGTGGGCGCTGGGGTGCGTCATGTACGAGTGCTACGCGGGCCACCCGCCCTTCCACTCCCCCACCTTCTCCGCGCTCGTCGCCGCCATCCTCACGGAGCCCCCCCCGCCCCTGCCCGGGGCCCCCTCGCGCGAGTTCCAAGATCTCGTGCTGCGCCTGTTGGATAAGGACCCGGGGACCAGGATGGGGTGGGAGGAGCTTAGGGAGCATCCCTTCTGGCAGTCGCCGATTAAAGCCCTGCCGCTGCCGCCGCAACCCGCGCTGAAGATCTTTCTTCGCGCACAGGCGCAGGCGGAAGCGGAGGCGCAGGCACAGGCGGAAGCGGAGGCGCAGATGCAGGCGCAGGCGGCAGGGCGCAATGGGGGAGGCAGAGGAGCAGGCGAGGGGCGGGAGATGAGCGGGTCGAGTGAGCGCGAGGGGCGCGTGGCTCTAGGGGACGTGGCGGCTGCATGCGGCAATGCGGGGGATGGGGGGGTGGGGGGGAGCGCGGAGTTCAGGAGAGATGCCCTGGCGGGAAGAGGGATTGCCAGCAAAGGCGGCAATGGGGGGGAGAACGGGGGGGATGGCGGGGCGGGGAGGGGAGGGGCACCCGCACCAGCAACACCAGCACCAGCAGCACCAGCAGCGCAAGCAACAGCAGCAACACCAACAACGCCCGGAACACCAGCGGCAGCAGCAGGCGGGGCAGCAGTGGCGGCGGAGGTAGTAGCAGCGAGCGTGCTGCGCCTGTCGCGCATAGTGCGCAGCAACCTGCAGAAGGACGCGGAGGGCGGCGAGGGCGCGGGCGGGAGCTACAGGCACGGCGGGGCGCTGAAGGGGGGGAGCCGGGAGGAGGTGCTGCTGGCGAGCCACGATATGGAGGTGGACCTCGAGGAGAGGAGCCTTGGCGCGGAGCAGGGGGGCGGGGACGGCGCGCATGATGATGGCGGGGTGGAGAGCGGTGAGGAGGGCGCAAGCAGTGGTGGGGAGGATGCGGGGGTGGGCAGGGAGAGGAAGGGGGCGCGTGGTGCGAGGGGGGGGTCTGACGTGGAGGATGATGGGGAGGGGGAGGGGGAGGGGGAGGGAGCAGGGGGGGTGTGGCGGGAAGGGGAGAGCGCGGGAGGGAAAGGGGAGGAGGTGAGTGCCGGTGAGGAGGAGCAGGCTCCAGCCAGCATGGCAGCGGCAGCACCAGCACGGCCACCAGCCGCACCACCGGCAGCAGCAACAGCAAGAGCAGCAGCAGCAGGTGCAGGTGCAGCAGCAGCGACGACAACGACGACGAGCATGACAACGACGAGTGTGACGGGCGGCAGTGTGACCTCAGAGGAGATCGAGCTTGACCTCAGCAGCGGCGCCGCCACGCCCCTGCACCCCTCCTCCGCGCGCCACCCAAGGGACGCGCGCAGGGGCGCGGGAGGCAGAGAGGCGGGAGGGGAAGGCGCGAGGGAAGGAGAGATGGGAGAGGGTGAGGAGGAGGAGGTGGTGGGGGGGGTGGCAGCGGAAGGGAGTGGAGACGGGGAGGGTGAGGGGCAGCAGGTGCGGGTGGGAGGGGAGGAGAAGCGCGGGGATACGAGGGATGGAGCAGCAGGGGAGGAGCGAGGCGAGCAAGTGGAGGGGGAGAGGGTGCAGGTGGCAAGCGGTGGCGAGGGGCAGGGGGCGCAGGGGGCAGGACGGGCCAAGGTGGCAGGGGAAGGAAGAGGAGGCCGAGCGAGTGAGGGGGCAGCAGCACCAGCAGCAGCAGCGGCAGCAGGAGGGGGCGAGAAGAGCCTGTCAGCAGTGGATGTGATGTGGCATGCGTCGGACCTGGCAGTGAAGCCCATCGTGCTGAACCGCCGCATTGAGAAGCTTCCAGAGCCCTCCTTCGACGCGCGCCACCTCCCCATGGACCCCCTCTCCCCCGCCGACCTCGTCAAGCTCGCAGGCGGCACCGCACCCGTGGAGGGGCAGCGCGGCAGCAGCAGCGCAGCGGACGCCATGCTGGGGCGGCTGGTGGGAGTCATGTCTGGGAGCTTTTCCCTGGCGGACAAGCTGAACGTGCTCAAGTATGTAGAGTCCTTGGCGTACGACCCGGATGCTGCCAACGTGGTGATCAACAGCGCGCTCATGGTGTGCCTTGTGAAGTTCCTGCGCAACTGCAAGGTGCCCGCCCTGCGCGTGGAGCTCTGCACCGCCATCGGGCTGCTCGTGCGCCACGCAACGGCCATCCGCAGGGAGCTGGCGGGCAGTGGGCTGGTGGCGGTGCTGGCGGAGTGCCTGCGGGACAAACAGGAGAAGGTGCGGCGCCGAGCCATGGCGGCGCTGGGCGAGATGGCCTTCTACATCGCCACGCAGAGCCCCACCCCTGCTGCTGCCGCTGCGGCGGTTGCTCCGTCGCCTGCCAGCGGGTTGGTGGTGGGGGCAGCGGTGGGGGCGGGGTGGCAGCTGACGGGCACGACGGTGGCTCTGATGGGCGCCATGCTGCGACGAGGCGAGGACGAGGTGACCATGCACTATGCTGTCAAGACCATCGAGAACATCGTCAGCGAGGGGCCAGCGTGGGCGGCGCGCTTCGCAACGCAGGAGACGGTGGGCAACCTGTGCCACATATTCCGGCACTGCTCGTCCCGCCAGGAGCACCTGAAGCTCACGGCGGGCTCTTGCCTTGTGCGCATTCTTCGATTCGCCCCCTCGTGGGTGGCGCTGGTGCTGGACCGGTTAGGGGCCAGGGACGTGGTGACCGGGCTCGCCAAAGCGGCGCCCAGGGAGCAGCAGCTGCTGTTGAGTCTGGTCAATGTGGCGCTGGCTGCTGCGGCGGCGGGGCAGCTGCCAGCACGGCAGGTGACAGCTCTGACAGAGGACAAGGGGGGGCTGCCCGCAGCGGCGGTGGGGCTGCTGCTGCAGGAGCAGGCTACTGAGGTGCTGAGAGGCAAGGCCCTGTGCTGCGTGGCGCTGCTGCTGCGCACCAACTGGCGCCTGCTCGTACCGCTCTGCACCGCACACAAGCTGGTGCCGGCGCTGGAGAGGGTGAGGAGGGAGGCGAAGCCGAGTGGCAAGGAGGAGGCGTTTGTGAGCGTGTGTGTGGATGCAGGGGTGCGGACGGTGGCGGGGGCGGCTGAACAGCTGATGGCGCAGATACCGCAGGACATCTCCGTGCTAGTGGCTGCTGTTGCGGCCACCACCACCAACTCCGCCAACTCGCCCATCCCCTCTGCTGTCCTCACTGCTCCCTCACCTTCTGGCGGGTCCTTGTCTCGCAAAGCAGGCGCCGCTGCTGCCGCCGCTGCTGCTGCTGTTGCTGCTGCCACGAGGACAGGCAGTGCGGGGGAGTCGTCGCCTCACACGACCCAGCAGCAGGCGCTGCAGCAGCAGGCGCTGCAGGCGAGCATAGTGGACATGCTGTCCGTGGTGGTTATGCTGGTCACGAGCCCACTACTGCGGCCACTCATAGTAGAGGCTCTGCTGCTGCAGCAGCTCACGGACTGCCTCACCCTCTGCCTCTCCAACTCCGCTTCGCTCTATGTGAGCCTTGAATGGTCCTTTCTAGTAGATAGCAACGAGTGCACGCTGCTTTACACGCTGTGCGTCACACTTTGGGCGTCACGCACTTCTCTTGTTCACCCCATCCCTCTTGTCCCAACCTGCGACACCCCTTTTCCATTCCCTACCCCCCCGCATCTCTCATCTCCTCCTCTCCCCTCTCTCCCTCCCCGCCTTCTCCGCCCAGCCGTTGGAGCAGCTACTGGCAGCAGTGCTGCTGGCAGTGGAGGCGCTGTGCCAGCAGCCGCAGCAGCTGCTGCAGCAGACGGCAGCGCTGACCACGTGCCTGCTGCCGGCGCTGGCGCAGCTCTACTCCAAGGCGCCGGCGGGCGAGACGCGCTTCATGTGCATCAAGGTCATGGGGGACCTCTTTGCCCTGCTGCTGGACCACCTCACTGCGCTCAGGCAACGGGGGCGCGATCTGCAGGCAGGGGAGCAGGGCGGGGAGGGGGAGGCGGAGGGGGAGGGGGAGGGAGATGGGGAGAGGGAGAAGGCGGAGTGTGAGGCGGCGCGGGCGGTGGTGCAGGAGGTGGTGTGTGGGGAGGTGCTGCCGCTGTATGACTCGCTCATGGCGGACGATGAGCCCGTGCCCACCTTTGCACAGAAGCTGCTCGTCAACTTCCTGGACCACTCCATCGTGTCTGTGGACAGCATTCTCGCACTGGGGCTCGCCGCCTGCTTCTTTGAGAGGCTTGTGGGCGAGCCTGCTGCCATCAACATGCACACGCTGCGCCTGTGCCTCATTCTGGCGGCCAACCCCGCGGTGGACAAGCGGGCGTTTGCGCACCTGCACCTGGTGCCGCGCATGGGTGCGCTGCTTCAGCACGTGTGGCAGTGCGAGATGGCGGACTTTGTGGACCCGGTCGTGTCACTCTGCCTGCTCGTGCTGGAGCGCCAGGTGGCGGATAACGAGAGCGGCGAGCAGGAGGGGGGGGCAGGGGCGGGGGGGGCGGGGGAGGAGGAGGTGGAGCAGCTCGCGGAGTTCACCCGAGTCTTTATGCATCTGTGTGCTGACCCAGACCCTGTGGTGGCGGATATCGCCTCCGACTGCCTCTCCCTGCTGCTGCACGCCGTGCCGGACCATGTGGGGCTCGCGCTCGCACCCCACATCCCCGACCTCACCACTGTGCTCGCCAGCACAGCACAGCAGCTGCAGGAGCTGGAGCAGCAGCAGCAGGCGGCGGGTGAGACAGGGGAGGAGGCGGGGGGGGCGGAGCTGGCAGTGAAGGTGAAGGTGCTGCTGCTGCGAGCGGCGGGGTGCACGTGCAAGGAGCTGCGCACGGCCATTGTGAGGCGGCGCGAGGAGGTGGCGGCGCCAGTGGGCGAGCTGCAACAGCTGCTGGGGCTGGCGAGTGCGGCCAAGGGCAGTGCGGTGGAGGAGGTGGTGGAGGCCGCTACCACCACTGCCACGGACGTGCAGCGACTCCTGCGATGCTGCTCCTGACGCACTCTTGGTGGCACCAACACCTCTGAAGAATTCCTTCCAGGCACTGTCATGCATCTGCTGCCCTCACCCACTGCCTGCTGGCTCCTTGATTCTAACTCACTTCACGTGTTGCCCTAGCTTATCCCAACTGGTTCTGCCGTAGCTTTTCCTGTTTGTCCTTCTTGCCTCCTCTTTCTGCTAGTGTGTCTGCCCGTCCATCTGTCACCCATCAATCCAGCCATGTCTTCTTGCCTCCTGCGCTGTTCTGCTCTTCGCCCCTCATCCTGCTCTCCATCCCTCATCCTACTCTCCATTTCTCATTCTGTCCCATCTCCTGGTGCTGGCTGCTTCTCCTGCCTGCAGATACTCACTGGCTGCAGCCGACCGCACACTCTGTCGAGCCTGCATGCTGCCTGGGATACATGCAGTGCAGTTCCAGTAGTCGTCCTTCAAACACGTGTGCTGCCATGTCCACTACCTGTGGGCATATGAATCTATGGCAGCACAACTAGAACCCTTACAGTAGTACCTTATTCCCTACTTACCCTGTGCCTGCTTTCCCCTTGCGTGTCCCTATCCCGCCCCCCTTTCGCCTCCATCTGCTTCCTCCATGACTGGTCTGCTGACCCTGGGTCAGCCTGTCTCCCCTTACACGTCACTTCCGCCCACCGTCTTCCTCTACCAACACCAGTCCCCCCCTCCTCCACACACGCCATTATGGCAGTACCCAATCCACAGTAATTGCCATGGAAGGGAAGTTGGACTCTGTCTAGGGTTTCCATGGTGTTGTTGAAATTGTCATCACTTAGGTGGTTGCCGACCTCTGCATCCCGAACATGTAACACCCTCAACAGCTAAGCTATCGTATGTGTAATTTGTTTGGGCCTTTATTATGCGAACGAACACATGGCATGGCAACCTGACATACAGCAGCACCGTTTAAAATGAGAGAGTAGTGGAATTGCAGTAAATACTATGTGAGATGCTCTTATTTAAAACCTGCCCTGTTCACTTGTATGTGAAACAAAGCAGGACGCACACCAGCTGTTCCACATCGATGCCTTGGTGGTGCCCCCCCTGTACTACCCGGATGGAGGAATCAGAGAAACAATGGCCATGGACCGCTACCATGCTTGCAGTTGACTCTTGGTGCTGCCATCCGGGCTGGACGCTTGTAGAGAAGGGTGGATGGTGGAGGGTGAAGGGTGGAGGGTGGAGGGTAGGGTGTCAGTAGCCTAGCAGTTGCAGTGGCAGCAAGTTGAAGCGTTCGACGGCAGCAGGAGTGAGGCCGGCGAGGAAGAGGAAGCACTTGGCAGGGCGGAAGTCCACAATGCAGCGACGCGCAGATGCATGCTGATCCACGCACATGGCGGGCACCGGAGCCAGGCACAGGGGAGGAAGGGGGGTGGGAGAGAGAGGGGGAAGGGTTGGGAGGGAGAGCAGGAGGAGGGTGAGGGGATGAGATGGCAGGAAGTACTTCTCAGGCACATGACAAATGACAATGACAAATGAACAAAATTGCCATAGGTCTCTAGATACTTTGTCCAGCCAAGACCCAGCAGTGGCAGCGGCAGCTGCAGCGGGAGAGTTGAGCTGGGTTTGGAAGAGGGAAGTGGTTGGGGAGAGCGAGCGGGGAATGGCGCGGTGGGGCAGAGAGGGCATTGGGCGCACTCACGTTGGCATGGGTGGTGACATAGTAATGGTTGGCTTCCTGCAGTTGGGCACATAGGAGAGCACATGGGAGAGCAAGAGAGCGGGTTGGTTGGTGCACAGCAATGAGGTGTTGCAGCACTATCCAGCAGGTGTGAGTGTGCGAGCCATGCTCTAACGATCACGTTGTCAGGATCGCAGTTTATAGGAGCCAGATGTGGAAAAAGGAAGGGTTTTGGAGGGGCTTACTTGCACGTTGTGTAGGAGGAGGGAGGAGATGCGGGAGGGGGTGAGGGTGGGCGGAGCAAGGAGGTGAGAGGAGGGCGAGTGCGCATAGATGACCGATCGGTTGGCCACTCTTGCCGGCCATGTCACCTGAACACACGAGGCAGGGGGAAGGGGGAAGGCGAGGGTAAGGGGCGAAGTACAAGGTGCAAGGTGCAAGGTGCAAAGGCATGGCACAGCAACGACACACGTGCAGACAGAAGACACACAGGAGGCGTGTAGGAGTGAGCTCAGGCGTGGGGGGAAGGGGGAGGAGAAGAAGACTCGATGCTGAGGGGAGGAGTCGGAGGGGCAGGCACAGGAAAGAGGACGTGTGCAGTGCAGCAGTGTTGGGATGGCGGTGTCAAGAATGAAGTGCGAGGGGGTTTTTGAGGGGCCTCAAGAATGAAGTGCGAGGGGGTTTTTGAGGGGCCTCAAGAATGAAGTGCGAGGGGGTTTTTGAGGGGCCTCAAGAATGAAGTGCGAGGGGGTTTTTGAGGGGCCTCAAGAATGAAGTGCGAGGGGGTTTTTGAGGGGCCTCAAGAATGAAGTGCGAGGGGGTTTACCCGTAGAAGTGTCGGGACGTAGTGATGGGCGGGGTTGCAGTGATGGTGCCAGCGGTCGTTCTGGCACGGAAGATACCAAGGAATGGTGCAAAAATGAGGGCAATCCAGGAGTGGGTAGAATTAAGGACTGGCCCACGTGCCATACTGTGTGCGCACACACACACAGTACGGTGCTTGTTTCTCAAAACATTTTGAGAGACCATTAGCGCATGAGAAAGTTTGAGCATCGACGCGTATAGGCACGGGAAGGGGGGAATGTGAGGCAGCTGCAAGCCATGGCACGGCACAGCAACCACTTCATGCTGCAAGAACAAGCCATCACAACAGATAGCTCTTTTCATTCCCAAGCACCCAATGCCCCGCAGTGCTGATGGCAGGGATTTCGGAACGCAGTGTGCAAGTGGCCGTCTCACCCGGCAGAAGGCCGCGAACTTGGCGTACACTGCCTGGTCCTCCACTATGGCGTATGCATGGCGCCGCGTGATGCCCATCCACTGCCAGGGGGGGGAAGGGCGGGCGAGAGGGCGATAGGGAGGGAGAGAAGGGTATAGATATGGTGAGGTGAGGAAACAAAGGTAAGGCAAGATGAACGAGCAGTGAGTAGCTTATGGAAACGAAGGAAAGAAAGGACGACTGAAAAGAAAGGAAGAGAACATTAAACGACAAGATGTTGGGAGTGGCAGCAAGAGAGCATGCGGTATAGGTTGCATGGGCCATGGGCATGGGGTATGGAGAATGGGGCATGACGCAAAAGGCATGGGGCATAGGGCATGGGGCACGGGGCATGGGCTATAGGATATGGAGAATGGGACACGAGGCATGAGGCTTGGGACATGGCGAATGGGGCATGGGGCATGTGCGGCATGGGGCATGGGTGTGAGGTGGGAGTGGGGGGAACCTGTGAGCCGGTGGAGAATTGGAGGGGCCTGACGTCAGGAGCCATGCGAGGGGAGTAGGCGGGGGGGGAAGGCAATGGGTCCGAGCTGCACGGGAAAAAGAGAGAGGGGCGCAGAGAGGGAGAAAACAGCGGAGCACACACACAGGGTGGGGAGAGGAATATGGGAAGCAGACAGGCGCAGACAAAAGGCAGTTAAGCAACGGAGTTCTTTACGGGACTGGGGTTAGTTGCACAGGGAGCAAAGAGTGAGAGCACGGGAGGCATGCGAGTCACCTGTGAGGCATGAGCAACGAGGCGAGGATTTCCTCGCCTCGGAAATCCTCGCCTCGAAATTCCGGGGGTCGAGGCGGGATTTCTGGGAAAAATCCTCGCGAGGAATCCTCGCCCCGCCCCGCCGAGGATTCGCGGCCTCGACTTTTCCTCGAGGCAAATGGGCCTGAGGCAATGGGATTTTGTATCCTCCCGAGGAAAACCTGGATAAGGCTCATTCTTCCCGCACATGTTCCCATTTCCCCCCCCCCCCCCTAAACCCCCAGCCGCCCAGGTCAAGAAATCCTCGCCCCGGGTCAAGGAATTAATCCTCGAGGCGAGGATTTCAATCCTCGACCCCAAAACCCGGGGGGCGAGGGGGGATTTTCAAGAAAAATCCTCGGCGAGGATTCCTCGACCCGCCCCGGCTATGGCGCGAAGATGAGATACTCGGGTCAAGGAATCCTCGCCTCGCCCCGTGCTCATGCCTAGTGAGGCATGGGAGTCACATGCGAGGCATGCGAGTCACATGTGAGGCATGGTAAGAGTGAGTGCGGTGACCTGTCGAGGTATGCGAGGGGCGAGGCCATGAGGTAGCGCCACACTGTGGTGAAGTTGCGCACCGGCACACACCTGCCATACAGTGGGGAGGACAGGGGAAAGCAGCGGACAGGAGGACGCACACGGGTGGGGGGGAGGACGTGGTTGGGGAAACAAAGGGGGGGGAAAGGGGAGGGAATATGGGGAGAAAAAGGGAAGG